GGGATATTTTCGTGTGGTTTTGTTTTATATCTGAACAAATTAGGATAAATAAAGATTTTTATAATTTCCTCGAAAACAAATCGACTAATTTTAAAAAATCGAACGTCAAAATAAAGGACTTCGAAAGACCATTAAAGCATGCTATTACTCGATACCCCTTGTCATTCAAAACTTTTAAGATGACCCTGGCTGGTAGAGGATGAAAGGGGGTGTAGTAGTTCTTGGTTAAAAAGTTGTCCTCCTTGACAAATCTTTTGACGTGTCTCGGCGTTTTTCCTTTTTATCAATAGTTTTCGCTAAACCCGTGGTGGGAATTTTTCAAATGAACACTCTGTATGAGAGAAACAATGTACGACCAATTTAGCGAACAAAAGCATTTTAATACCGAAAAAACCGACCTTAGTGTGTCTGTCAAAATAGTAACGTTTTGTCATTCTTTTTCTTTTAAATATGAGAACGTTGAAAAGTGTAATTTTATATTATTATTTTGTAAAAGAATGCATGTCGTATGTGTCTCGTTAACACGAGCTATTAAGAGCTTTTAGCTTTTGCGTTATAGTGTTACTTTTCAAGGTATAAGATGAAACAAACGCCAGAAAATATCTAGTAAAAATAAATTCATCATTTCTTTGAATTAATTTTCGTCCCCCGCCAGACTGGCGCATGTCGATATTGTTGCCATACTCGAAGTGGATGTCCTCTAATCCTAGCAACTTGAAAAAAAAAACATTCACCTCAAGTCTGCGTGGAATAACATATTCTTCTATTAACTACGCCCTCGTCAATAATACGTTTACTCTCGTTATCAACTTTGCAGTGGCAGTAGCTCTTCGCACTATTAGATGAATATGTATCATCAGTAGCGTATAAGAAACTCGAACAGGTACTTTTTCTGAGTGACGCCTCTATGGTGAAAGACCTAGTTTTGATTCTTATGGCCTTTTTCATTACGTTTTGACGTCTGCTGACATCTTTGTAATGCATTTTTTAGTGTTGGCAATAATGAATCGGGTATAACTCAGGACCGTATTCAGAACTGTATCAAACGTAGTCAAAAAACGTTTCTCTTGTTTTATTCTTACCTGACTTGAAATATATTCATGATCATTAGCATCCATTTTGAATGTAGCGTTTTTCGTTGTATGCGAAAGATATCTTCTAGATAAACGCATTGTTAGGTAGTATGAATACGTTGTGTAGAAAAGATCACAAGAAAATACGGCTGTCCCTTCAGATAGCGTTGACAGATCCATCAGAATTTTATATCATTTGTCAAGATGGGGTATTTATTCAATATTAATCAGCTATAATTTGCTGCGTTGTTTCACGTAATGGATACTCGTGAAGAAGACTCTAGAAACTGACACTGTCGTTCAGAGGTGCCGGGAAACTGTGATCTCCTGCTACTTTACGTAGGAATCTGTCGTACCAAGTTTGACAAAACTACCCATAGTTGGCAGTGTCAACTTTATCTTTCGTACATCACTATATTGGTGCATATTCGCATGTTTGGTTTCCGATATCTGTCTCTATATGACATTTATACGGTACTGATGATTGATAAAAAAGCATAAAACAACATTGTATACGGTGACTTCTGATAAATGTTTGAGAAATTAGCGATTGAGATACTTTCTTACTAATCTGCTAAAACAAGTGATTAAATCACTGCACCCTGCTACAAACCATAATTAATGCACTTCACCCCCTAAACCCCATATAAGGAGCTTTAACAATCTCGACATCCTGCCATCAGGTTAAGTTTCCGATAAATAAGTAATATCCAAGATGCACAAAGGGGAAGCTTTCGAATACACCATTAAAGACCTTTCGGCGTCCGCTTTTTCCGTAAGATTTTTATTCGCGTTCCTACGAACCTAATGGCGGCAGCCATGTTCAAATATTGACTCCGGGGATCAGGCATTCGGCCCGGAGGATCCTTCGCTCCGGCCAGGAATCCGGATGGGAATATGATGAACAGATTGCATAATAAGTTTGAGGTGCTCTTCACGTCGATAAACAACAGGAGGATTGGAAGAGCTTGCGAAAGGTATAAGGAGTGAGAATTAGCTTCTTGTCTGGAACTTCAGAGCAGATATTCTTATTTTTTCATAGAAGTATTGCATTTACTATTTGTCAATAAGTTCAACCAAGTACTTTTGCATTTTTTCATCCATAATGCCTCCGCGTTCTAGGCCTGTCAGGTCGACCTGCCAGTCATCGATAAATGATCGGTTCGACAATCTCTTTGTTCATGAGATATGGAGAATATCGGCCAATCTGTCAGGAGAGGCCTTACTTTCTACTGATCTCACTCAGTCTCAAATTGGGAATAGCGGGATATTTTCATCTTCTTCCATTTTCTACGATACTGGCAAGGAAGTAGGTATTGTAATCCCAAAAATTTTCAAAAATAAGAATTATGTTTTTTGGAGGTTATTTAACATCCAGGTCACGAAAAACCTTGTCACGAATTTTCGTCGGTATGTCGGTTTGTCTGTCTGTCTGTTTCCTAGTCCATGGCTAGTCTATAACTTGGAAAGTACCGCTCGGATTTTGATGAAATTTTCACTCACTAACTACTATGTCAAGGAATAAAAAGCTTTGTAGCTTTATGAGATTGGTTCGGTCGGAGCAGAGCTACGGGGCAAAAACGAATAAAAAATAGCAATTGCTTAAAATTTCTTTGAGGTTTCAGAAACCTCTGATGATTTACAGAAAAAAAATTGTTGGAGTTAAAAATTGTAGGTGATAGGAGAAGGTATGTCTCAGTGTTTTAATATTTATACGCCCCCAACTCAGGTAATTCTACAACCCTATTATACTCGGGAACCGAAAGGGAAGAGAGTAGCAAGACACATCGCACGCCCATGCTAATGCGGCTTTTTTTTGATATGACGGTACACCCGCACATCGACCTTGTCAATTGAGATGCCACTTTAACATGGCGTACAGTTTATCTGTACGCGTGCCCTTAAAACTTGATATAGACATGTTTTCAACACGCGTCAAGGCTTCTGCTCTCTGGCTTCACCGCAAGTATGGGAGAGAGCCATTGTTTTCTGAGCGTGACGTCTAACTTCTCAGCCCACGAACTTCTTCATGCCTCAGGCTCATAAAGTAACTTTAGCGCCCGTTATCTTTAGTCAACCTATGTTGAATACAATATCGCGACCATGGCAACTGCCCTTATTTATTTGTTGCTACGCATCGTAGTTGGCCCAACTACCAGCGCTACAATAGTACAGTCAGCGTATATTTGTTTTCAAAAGCTAGAGCAGAGTTCCCCAAACTTTTTTGTGTCGTAGACACCTTGCCATGTTTTTCCGTGTTGGGTAGACCCCCCTTACCTGATATTGATTTCCTGTAAACTTCTAAGCTTAGTGTTAAAAACTTAAAGTAAAAACACATGTTAATTTATACATTTATTAATTGAATTTAAATTAAAACTACTCAAAATAAAATTTTGTATCTGTTATGTAAAATATACGTAACATTAAGTAAACAGGTGTAGGACCAATAAGTGCCCGCATTGGGAATAAGTGCCCGCATTGAAAAAAAAATAAGAGGGATAAAATAAAAAAAAGTGAAAAATAATAAAAAAAAAGTTTTTTTACTTAAAATAGTACAATAAGCGAGTTCGTTTATTAATTATATCATAAACGTATGTTCTACAATAATATCACTGATAGTTTTTATTAAATTCTGCTTCTTATACGTTTAAGTTATCTAAAAATAGGCAAAAAATTAACGAATTTTAGTGTGTACCTATCCTTGAATTTTCAGAATAATTAAAAAAAAAATATTTTCTATAAAGGGGGGTTCTTTAAAAAAATCAATGCGGGCACTTATTCCCAATGTGGGCATTTATTGGTCAGACACCAATAAACATAAAATAAACTATAAATAATATAACATAAGCAATAAGTGAATATTTTTAGTGAGAAGGATGAACCTGATGCTTTAATAATAAATTATCAACATTTGGCGTCAATTTTGTAAGGGTTAATCGTAAATCTCCTCGGCTAATGATGTCCAGTCTGTTTCTTTTTTTCGTTAGGAGATTGGTAACAGCGCTGAACCCCCTTTCCACTAGGTATGATGATGGAAAGGAAATTAAAAATTTCATCGCTATATTCCATACTACGGGATATGTAACGGGTATGTTGTTTTGCAGCCAGAATTGCTGATATCCGTTTTTAAACTGAAACTTAAGTTCTTCGTTTGTACTTAGTTCAGTCAGTTCCTCTTGTATTATGACATTCGTTTCTTCTATGTCACCATATGGATTAATTATCCACGGTGGTATTACCATAGTCAAAATATCCTCAAACCTAGATTCAAAATCTGAAGAGAGGGCATTTAGATGTTGAACGTAAGTTGAAACGTCGTCTTCCTGGCAGCTTGTCTGTGATAAATTGGGGAACTGAGAAAATTCGCCCCGTCCAATATTTTGCTTCATTTGTTTAACTCTGGCAAGAAACGCTGATAAGATGGACTTTGTTTTAATCAAATTTAAATTGTCGCCTTGTAATTGCAAATTAATCATATTAAATTTTGTAAACAAATCTGTTAAATAGGCGATGTCTGTTTTCCTCTTCATTAAATTTTCTTTTAAAATTTTAACTTTAGTATCCAGAAATTCTAAAATAGTCTCAAAAAGTGCAAAAAATCTTGTCAAACATAAGCCTTTCGACAGCCAGCGTACTTCAGTGTGAAGGGGTAATTGATGAAAGTATTCCTCATTTTCTTCACACAACTGCGCAAATAACCGCGTATTCAACGCGTTGCTTCGGATTCGGTTTACTGCATCAATGACTAAATGAAGTGATTCATGCAATCTCACATTCAAATTTTTAGCAACTAAATGTTGTCGATGGATGACGCAATGTACTGCTAACACCCCTGACACATTTTGTTTTAAATAGCTTATAAATCCACGATAACGTCCAACCATGGCAGGTGCTCCATCTGTAACTACTGATATTATATTTGATAAATTAAGCTTTTTCAATGAAGTAATCCTTCCAAACATGAAATATTGATTCACCTTTAGTGTCGGTTATCAAAGTTCTTGCGAAGAGCAGTTCTTCGTAGATTTCTTGATTCATAATAAAACGAACATATGCCAATAATAATGCTGCATTCTCAGGTAAAGTTGACTCGTCCAGTTGTATAGAGAAATGGGTCGTTTGCAAATAATTACATAAGAAGGTTTCAGTATCAGAACTCATTTCATCAATACGTCTTTCAACAGTATTGTTGCTTAAGGGAATTCTTTTAATGATATCAGATGCAGGTTTGTGTAAAACAGTTTTTAAAACCTCTTCAGCGGCTGACAAAATTAACTTCTCTCCGATAGTATGCGGTTTTCCGGATTTTGCTATAAGTAACGAGATATTGTAAGACGCCCGCAAACCATCATCATTTCTTTGTGACGTCGAAGCGAACATTCTGTCCAGTGTAGGTCTCTTCTGAAATTTATCTTTGAGTGTTTGAAAGTATTTTAAATCTTTCTCTGTTTTATCAGGGTGGCATCTTCTCAGATGATCTTGCAGTTTAGATGGTTTCATAGCGTCAGTGCCCAAAACTTTGTTGCATAAAAGGCACATAGGCGATTGTTTGTCCGGCAATGATGGAATGAAGCCAAATTTCAAATAATCAACACTGTACTGTTTACATTTCTTTTTAGATTCGGACATGGCATCAGTCATCTGTGGGCAAAATTAAATTATTTAAATAAGACAGAAAATCCAGCAGCTGTATATTAAAAATATAAATATGTTTTGATTTTTCCGAAAACATTCCATAATTCGAACTTCTTGCAACAATTAGCTCGAATTACGGAGATTGCACTGTAATTATATTACCGATTGCTAAAACCTTCGAAAAGAAACTATTGAGGAGTACTCGTGTAATTTTGCATGATTGAACATTTAACTACTAATAACTAAAGTCATGATTGGCGTAATTTATCTATCTTTGCTAACTACGAGTACAAAACTAAAATTTAATTAAAAATAATGTACATACTTTTCTCCAGCACTCTCAAACAAAATAACACTGACTCACTATAATTTGTGTGATATACTATCTGTTTATATTTGTTAAAATATTTTCTTAGCACTTTCCTTTTCAAGATTCAGGAAACGAATAAACGTATTTGTCCCACATTTGTATTTATAGAGTGACGAATTGAACAACTCAGTGCAAGGTAGCGAAGCTCTGAGACTGCGACTCTCAGGTTTTTACAAGTTCAAAATGTATTGCGACCACAAAGCGAATACCAACATCCTACAACTTACACAATTTTATAAACATATATAAATTCATGGACTCCCAAATTTTTTTTCGCTGACGTAGACCCCTTGCAGGTTGTCATAGACCCCTAGGGGTCGATATAGACCACTTTGAGAATCAATGAGCTAGAGTATACATTTTAGTTTTAGACAGTCAAATATCTACACGTATATTAGGCGTAATAAATCTGTACGATGCGGGCCATTACCGCCAACTTAGGATACCATATAGTCGCGGTACTATACAGGCTCTACGTAAGATGCCACTCCAATAAGGAAAACATATTTTTTTCGTATAATGAACCATAGAATTCTACTGAAACTTCTTCATAAAAATACCTAAATACCAGGTTTAAGACCATAGTAGGCTATATTTTCCATGACCCAATTACGCCTATAAGTCGTCCTTTGTCCATTTTTATTCTGGTTTTGAGAATTACGGAAGTCAGCTTTCTGCGAGACGTCGGTTGGTCGGGAATTATGTTTTTCTTGCGGTGGCATGTCATTAGCTCCTTTTGATAAATGCGCCTTATTAGCCAACCTTGCAATGAAATCTCTCACAACTGAAACAGGTAATTTTCAGAGCAATTTGCTCCTGTTTGTTCAGTAGCTAAGTAATTTATTTGCGTCGGTTGCTAGGTCGGCTTTTCCAGTCACCTGATCCAGTAGTCTGGTACGTGGGTGCAAACGCAAAAAGGTGAATGAGGAACGGCTGCGATATTTCACTTTTTTCTGCCATGTAATAATCCTGTTATTTTATTGAATAACTATAGGTGGGTATATGTGCAATTGGAATTCAGGTTTTTTTTTGGGCATATCTTGAACTTATTTTTGTTAAGTACATGCACATCTTGGATTTTTTTACAATGCTTATGGAGAAACAAATACTATTGAATGTACAATTAAGCCCTTGCTTAGAAACTAACAGCGGTAGTTAAAAGTAATGCTAAAGAATCTAACTAAATCAGCATGATTATGGCATCTTTTTCTATGTCCTGTAAGGCTCTTGTTCAACCTTTGTCTCTTATGCCTGTCCTTCCAGTTCATCTTTCTTCAGTATCCAACAATATTCGATCATGTCTGCATCCCACATTCATTGATAGCTCCTCTCCATGACGTTAATCTTTTTTGTAAGCGCTCATCTTGTCCTTCACTAATGCCACAAAGATTCATAGAAAATAAATCAATATGAAAATGCAGAAAATATAACTTTACACTAATATTTTATCCCAGACCACGGAAATTGCAGAGCAAGCATATTGCTTACTATATTTGGTCCATACTATTTTCGGGTAAAAAACATCAAATTAATACTTTATTACTGTATTTCAATGCAAAGTCGATTCTGGTCTAGTCCTAACTCCTCATCTCTCTCCTAAGCCCTGGATACAATGTTTCTTGGTAGCACGCTCATGACTTATCACTTCGACAAATATTTTTTTTTGATTAAGTGGTCAATCTTTGTCATCTATCACGTTTTGACTTCTACCCTATGTCATGACTAGAAAGTATATTTTATATTTATCAATTTACGAGTACGACATGCAAAATATACCATATCTTGGTGTAACATCTGAAACTTATCCTATAGTTTATATGACGATAATCCCCCATGCTGATTTGGCCAATAAAACCATATGTATTGACATAATATCTTGGGCTACTGTTATATCTATACGAATTTTATTAGTTATTCAGCAAAACAATTCATTGAATCTAACTTTGAACGATTTTCTTATAGTTTGGCCGGCCTAAACATTCTTCGTCTTCAGGTCCCAGTCGACCTGGACGATGTCTTTTGTCCTCACAATCAAAGTCATTTTTCTCGAATTGTAGTCACTACCTACTGGACTATTCCAGTCACCTGATTCAGGATATGCTTTGATGGTATTTTTGGACCGGTAATGTCCACTAATCTATCTGCTGTTTGTGCGTACACCTCCGCTAATAAGCGTAGGTGATGCTACTAATTAACCTGGTTGCAACAGGCTGGAATTAGCATATGCATCTTTGCGAATTTGTCGCCAGAAAGTCCAGGTATTAATATATTTATGTGCATTGCCGCATTCAATGTCTACAGGGTGACATTCCTGTTAAGGTTTAGCTTCTCATTTTAATTGGGAGATGTCCATTTAGAACTGGCCGATACAATTGCTCCTTTCCACCTACGTCATCAGCTAAAACTTGCCTTTCGCAGTTATAAGCGGTTCCTCGGTATTTACGTTCTTTTTTTATATATATCGAAGAAGCCGCGCAGGCAGAAGCCTAAATGCCGGAACACCGCGGCTGCTATGATGATCCCAAATAAATTTCATTAATACGATTTTTGAACTGCCTAAGGTTAATAGAACTGGGAAAAAAAGCTTCCTCTTGTAGTTTGTTCCACAATCTTGGTACCCTTGGGACAAAGGAGCGGTCGTATCGGCGGGTCTGTCTGGCAGGCACATCGCGCGGCGGCATCATGGAACAGAGCTCTGAGGAGCAAAGCCCATTGGTGTAACGGTAGAAAAGAGCTAGATCGCCGACAGCCCGCCGGTGCGAAAGAGTCCAGAGACTGTCTGTTAGAGAAGAGCCATCGATCAGTCGGACCGCCCTTATCTGGACAGCACCGAGCATGGATAATGTAGTCGGGGCGGCAGCATCCCAAAAGTGTGAGCGATACGAGTACTCGAGGCTAGGCCTTATCTGGGCCTTGTATAGAGTGAGAAGGTCATGCGGAGAAAAGTACTTCTTAGCCCTAAACAAATAGCATAGCTTTTTCCCAGCGGCTGCAGCTATTGGCGAAATGTGTTCGTGCCAGATCAGGTCCTCGGTGATCTGGACTCCGACCAGCCAAAATGAATGGCTCTTTGGCAGAACTCGACCATCCATCGAAACCGGGTGAGCGCAGGGACCTTTTTGTTCGTCAAAGTACAGTACTGTGTTCTGGAAGCATTGAACTGTACAAAATTGTTGCGTCCCCAAGCAGTGATAGCCTGCAGGTCTCTTGTCAGAGAGGAAGTCATCGCTAGTCTTCTTTTTTCCAACTCAGCGGCAGAGATCGGCTTGTCATTCTGAATTCCTGCATGTAGAGTGCTGTCATCAGCGAAGCTGTGGATTGGGTTAATCGTGCAGGAAAGGAGGTCGTTGATATGTAAAAGAAACAGTGTCGGAGCCAAGACCGATCCCTGGGGAACACCCGCGTTGACGTCGTGGGATGAAGAGAAGAACCCGTCAATTACGACGGATATCTTGCGGCCAGAGATAAAGTCAGCCACCCGTCTGCAAAGCTTTTCTGGGAGGCCATAAGATGGAAGTTTGCTTAAGAGGGCATCGTGCCACAGCTGATCGAACGCTTTCGTGATGTCAAGAGCAACGACATGAGACTCACCATAACACTGGATGAGTTTACTCCACAATTGAGTAACGTAAGCTAGGAGGTCCCCTGTGGATCGCTGGTGCCGCAAACCATACTGCCTGTCGCTAATCAAGCTGTGACGTTCGAGGTAGTCCAGAAGCTCGCGATTTATTGCACCTCTCCATCACCTTACTTAAAACAGAAAGCAGAGCTATAGGCCTGTAGTTGTAAGGGCCGGTCTTAGATCGCTTTTTTGGGATGGGTTGGCAAATTTCCAGTTAGTTTTCTGGGAAGGTGCCAGATTCATAAGATATCTGGAAGAGACGCGAGCTGGAGCAAGCTCCGGTGCACACCTCTTCAGTAAAATGGCAGGAATCAAGTCCGGACCAGAAGATTTGTTGATGTCCAGCGACAAGAGCACTCGCCTTACAGTCTTATGCCTGAATGTTATCTCCCGCATAGTGTAGGGAACCCTTTGAATTGACGGCACTTGGGCGCTGGGGGGGGGACGTTCATGGTGGAATTGGCATCAAAGATCTTGGCTTGCACTTCCGCCTTGGCCTTTGAGTTGAATACAGTAGTTCCATCCTGACACGTAAGTGGTGGAAGGCTACTTTGTGGGAAGTTCTTTTCAATCTGCTTGGCCAGCGTCCAGAAAGACCGACTGCCATTGCGCTGCGACATTACCCTGTGCCTAAATTTTATATCGTGCTGGTTTTTGGCATTGCGAACCGCTTCTTTATATTTGTTTCTGGACTCAATGTCGGCTTGTCTGTTCTCTACAATGGGATTTTGTAAGAAGGTTCTGTGTGCCTTGATCTTCTGCTGGCGAGCAGCA